ATTTATGAAAATAATTAAATATTTGCGTAGAATTTTATTAAAATTTATTTTTTAAATAATTGGATTCTTTTGAAAAATTTTATTAAAATAGTAGATATTAAAAAACCGCTGCCAATTTGTATATTTTTTTATAATTTTGGTGCTCATTTCATGAACACTTTACTTCCTCATGGAGATAAAAATAATAGTAATATATGAATAACTTTTTATAAATATGGTAAAAGTGATTGAATTTTGGGTCAATCAATTTATTTTTAAATACCCTAATACAAGATAGTTACAATAATTAAAGATGACCGAGTGATAAAATCATTATTTTATATTTAACTTCCTTAAAATTATTTTCATCATTTCAATTCAATTATTATTTTCTACAATTTTTAAGTAAAATTCTTTTTAAAATCAATTATTTTTAATAATCTTTGAAAAAGTTCGGTATAGGTACTTTAGAAACAGTAAATTAAAATTTTTTTTTTTAATTTAATTATTCTCCAAATTTTTAGTTATATAGAATTCTTCAAAAATAGTTTTTAAAAATAAAATAATTAAAATTCTTTTAAATTTAAAATTTATTTCTATAAAATTTGACTAAATTATTTTTGTCAATTCCATTATTTTCAAAAAAAAAAATTTAGTTACAATTTCTCAAAAAAAAATAATTTTAATCATTTTTGTTGAATAAATAGTTAAATATTTATTATTACTTACTTTTTCAATTAAAATACAAAATGTTAAAAAGCAAAAATTAATCAGAGACGAACGTTATAAATAATTTTCAAAAGATTTAAAAGCATTCTACTCAACCTTAATAATTCTCTTTTAAATATTAAATCAGAATTTAAAGAAGATTCCTTTTTTTCGCTTTTATCTCACTTAGATCCTTTTTTTTCATCACATTACCTCACTTAATTCTAAATTTCGAGTTGAAGTCACGAAGCAATTTTACGACCGAGTTTTAACGAATTGGGCTAATTACATTTTAAATAGGACACTGCTCTGTTTTCTATTTAATGGCCTTAATGACGACCAATTTGGGTAACACGAAACCTACTTTTATATGTATATAATACTCGGGAATAGTATAAGTAAAATCGATAGCAGCGAATTTTTAAATTGCGCGAGAAATTTTTTTTTTTTCAAACGAAGAGCCAACATTTTATAAACGTTAATTATTGCATCATTATAATCGGTAATTTTGAGAGACGTTTACAGTATACAATATGGATCGTTAAACCATCGTTTAATCGACAGTAAAGTGGAAATATATAAAAATAAAAAAAAAAGGAAGAAAAATACAACGTTTACGAGGATCATGAATCAACATGTTTTATGAATGTTCGAATAACCCATTGCTATAGAAACTTGGCTCCAGGTTGGTTATTTCGACGCTGAGCAAAAGCGGCCACTGATGTTTATAGGATGAAAACAAGAGAAGAGCAAGGGGTGAAAATTGGAAAACAGTATTGTCCATGAACTGGCTCTTATGGGTGGTGCTTATATACCAACGCGCATTGTTTGATCACACACGCTCAGTCTCCTGTGTTTGTTTGTATACATACAATATCTGTATGGGGACCGACCTAAATTAAATGTCCAGAAAGCAAAGGCGATAGTTCAGTATCAATAAATCAATTATCGAAGAATCGATGATTTTATCGATAACGGAAAATTCTGTACTGTGTGATAATTTTGCCTTTAATTTTCTTTTAAATTCACGAAACAGTTTTCTCACATATTTTTCAAGAATGAATACGGGATAATATCGCACAGTGAATGAAAATGCTAATTTTTACACAGTTTTTCTAAGGATATCAAATTGAGACAAAAAAAGGATCAAAATTGTTGAATGTTCAATTTAATCAAATTAGGATAATTGCCGAAAACGAAATTTTTTAATAAGGAAAGAAGTTACATACCTAATTCTCTTTCTAGAAATCAGAAAAATACATATATAAATAATCAAATTTTTGTCATAATCCTAAATACAAACTTTGCACTCATCTACTGAAACCTTCGATTTAGTACTTTTTTACGTTATGCTTCTATTTGGGTACATTTTTTAGATTTCAGCCACAAAAAGCTGAAATTTCGGTTTTTTTTTTAAATTTTCACTACTTTAAATTCGCTAATACTAGAAATCAAGAAACTATTCTCAAAAATTATAATCAAATTCTTCAAAACGATTCAATTATTTTCAATGTTTAGTATTCTCATAAAATTTCGCAAAAAAATTCAATTATTTTTAAACAATATTCGAAACTCAATTATTTTCAATATCTAATATTTTCATAAAATTTCGCAAAAGAATTCAAATATTTGAAAAAAATTTATAAAATTCAATTCATTTCATGAATAATAAAATTTCCACAGGAATTCAATTAATTTAGAATAGCATTTTAATAACATATTTCGCAATAATTCAATTATTTTAATAAATAATAAAATTCTTCTTAGGAATTCAATTATTTTTGAAAATTTTAATAAAATTCTTTGTAACTTTTTAATTATTTTCACAAATGATAAAATTCATCGCATGATTTCAAATATTTTTAATACAATTTTACAGGAATTACTCGATAAATGTAATTATTCTTAAAAATTTAATTTCAATTCTTCAAAAAAATCAATTATTTAAAAAACTGTTTTTTTTTTTAAATTCTTTTGAAGAATTCAATTATGTACAAAAATATTAGAATTTTTTACATGAATTCAATTATTTTCAAATATTTTAATAAATTTGTTCTAAAAAAATCAATTATGTCGATGAATAAAAAAATTATTCACGAAAATTCAATTATTTTTAGGCTTTTTAATAAAATTCTTTGCAAAATTCAATTATTTTCATAAATAACAATGTTCATTACATGAAATTAATTATTTTTAAAAGTAATAAATTTCTTCTGGAAAATTCAATTATTTTACAAATTTCTAATAAAATCGTTCGCAAGAATTAAATTTTATTATTTTCATAAATAATAAAATGCTTTTTAGGAATTTAATTATTTTTAAAAAAATTAATAAACTTGTTTGCAACTATTCAATTATTTTAAATACAATTTTAATTCAATTTTTTGAAATAATTCAATTATTCTTTTAAATTTTAATAAAATTCTTCCCAAGAATTCAATTATGTCGATAAATAAAAGAATTATTCCCGAAAATTCAATTATTTTGAAGTATTTTAATAAAATTCTTTGTAAAATTTAATTATTTTCATAAATAACAATATTCATCACAAGAATTCAATTATTTTTAATAAATTTTTTCTTGAAAATTTAATTATTTTCAAAAATTCTAATATAATCGTTTGCAAGAATTCAATTTTATTATTTTCATAAATAATAAAATGCATTTCTGGAATTCAATTATTTTTAAAAAAATTTAATAAAATGCCAAACAGACATTCAATTATTTACAAAAATTTTAATGGAATTCTTTGTAAAATTTAATTGGTTTTAAAAACTTTTCGCAATTCATTGGTTTAAATATCTACTAATTTTCATAAAATTTCCAAACAGAATTCAATTATTTAAAAATTTTTTTTGTAAAAATCTTTGTAAGAATTCAATTTTTTTCATAAATAATAAAAATTTCTCAGGAATTCAATTATTTAAATCAGAATTTGCATAAAATTAGTCGAGAAAAACAATTATTTAAAATTTTTTATAAAATTCTTCCCAAGAATTAAATTATTTTTATAAATATTTAAATTCTTTTATGAATAATAAAATTTGTTGCAGGAATTGAATTTATTAGCAGGACAAGAAGAAGTAAATATTTTTGACGAAAATTAGAAAAAAGTCAGGAAAATAAAATATAGAATGGAATTTATATCAGTTTTGTGAATTATTTAAAACAAGTTTTTTTGGTCGTCAAGTTTAATATTTTGATAGGTACATTTTTACTTCTTTTTTTAGTTTCAAAGCTACTGTTTGCTACTTTTTGAAAATTAATTATCGAGTGCGAAATCTGTGAATAAAATAAGTTAATTTTTTAAATTAATGAAAAAGTGTGAAAGCGTATTCTATATGAATAAGTAGTTTATTGCTTATTAGAGATATTTAATTAAACTTGCATAATTTCATAGATCTCTCAATTGTGGTTATCAAGTTATATTTGATGCTCTTTGAAACATGTATCGATTTCATAATCTATAAATTCAATTACAATAATTCCATTTTAATTCATATTATATCAAAATTGGATTATTTAACAATAATCAAATTATTATTATTATTAAATAAATTTATTATCATACAAAAGCAGTTTTAGAGTAATTTAACGATTTTTCTCTTATAACTACATTTTTTAATTTTTAGGCAACAATTTAAAAAAAAACTTTTTACACCCTTCGACACAGAATAGAAAATTGTAATTCTTTTTACACATTCTTTTTTTGACAATATTACCCGATTTTCGCAGAAAACCTTAAATCTAATTTTTAAACTTATTTATAAATAAATCAAGTCATACAGATAAAATATCTATATCAGTCAAAAGTTATTGTTATAACAATCATACAATATAATAAAAATGCAATAATTGCGTGTTGTAAAAAGACAATAAAATACCAATTTGTAATACAAGTTAAAAACTCTTTTTAGAAAAAAAAAACAAATAATTAATTTTTAATTAATGAATAATAGATGAACAGAAAATTATTAAAACGCATTTCATTTGCAATTTGGCGATGAGAGTCGAAAATAATTTGTACAAAATATTATTGGATATTCAATTAATAAACATGGGTATGCATAAAAATGATATAAATATTCCCACTAATTAACAAACATTATCACGTTATATTCTCTTAAGAGCAATATTTACATGAATAAACGCTTTTTACTCTCTATATGAGTGCTTAATATATTTTAATTAATTAAAATTTGTTCATGTTAATGAGATTTACTTCAATTTTGTCGAAAATATTTCAATACGTATATATATTATTTCCATGATGATAAAAGCGTACAATTTATTTTTCAATAAACTTTTGTGTCATGGAAAAAATTTAAAAGGAAATAAATTTGTGAATAAAATTGAATTATTACATTTCAAAAATAAATTATGGAAGATTGATCATTTTATCATTTGATTGTATTTTTTTTTATAATAAAAAAGATAAAAATAGAGATTATTTATTAGATATGGGTATATCTATGAAAGTCTTCAATTTTTGTGTCCCTCGGAAATATTTTGATAATTTTAATTATTTTGTTTGTATTTAATTTAATTTTTCATTTTTTTCCTGGCTCTTGCTAAAAATATCAATTTTTTGATAGAATTTCTCCACTTGAGAACGCCAAGATCACCACCAGATGTCAGTAAAAAATCCAAGAAAGAACTGAACTGACATCTAGCGGTGACCTTGGCGTTCTCAGGTGGAGAATAGCATCTCCTTATTAAATCTCTAAATATTCGTCAATATTCGTCCCAAAAATATGCCCAAATCGTACTATTTTCACATTTTTATCAAAAAGAAATTATTTTTTCAAAAAAAAATAATAAATACAGTTATGGAATGATTAAAAGTTCCTACACACTATCAACTGTTTTGCTATACTTAAAAACAAAAAAAAGATGAAGCATTGGTTGACTTTTCGGAAAATATGATTCAATTTTCAATGCGAGAAAACTATAATATAAATGTAATGTATTTATGTACAAAAGCGAGAAATATTTCTTAAAGATGAGAAATTTTTTCAATGTCCCACCTCTCTCTTTGTTTGGAAAGTTTGTAAATTACTTGAAAATTAAACTAATAAATTAATGCTGGCCTCTTCTATCAACAGATCTTGTCTGGGTGTGCATGTATCTTTTAGCGAGGTACACATAAAATACTGTAATTGCTTTAATGCAGGAAAGTTTGTCTGTTTCGGGCGATGGTTAGAAGCCACGCCAAAGGAAGGAGGAGTCGAGACCAACACCTAATGTCACTTCCGGAAGAGATGTATCCAGCATCCCTTTGCATGGCTTCGGTTCTCTCTCCTGTAACAAAAACAAACAACTTTATAATTTCCAAAAACAAAACATTCTCCCAAAGAGCAAATAATTGCACATCTATTATCCGAAATATTCGATACAATAATGGTCCTAAAAAAATTAAATTTTTTGAATTCATACGAAAATTTTGAATTTTTGATTTCTTTTTTATTTGTCTCATAAACAGTAAAAACAATTAAATTTTGAAGAAATTACAAATTATTAAAGAAAGTCTATTATTTTCAAAAGAATTATAATTCTATGCAGAAATTCAATTGTATTAAAAAATTTTTTTAAATTCTCGTCAAAATTTAAATTACCTTTGAAAATAATCAAATTCTTCTTCTCCGAAATTCAATTATTTTTAAAAACTCAAATAAAGTTCTTTTGGCAAAATTTCAATTATCTTTAAAAATAATAAAATTCTTCTCCGCAATTCAATTATTTTCAACAACTTTAATAAAGTTCTTGGCAAAATTTCAATTATTTTCAAAAATTTCCTCAATTTGAAGATTTTAATTTCAATATCTGCTATTTTAATAAAATTTTCTAAAAGAATTCAATTATTTTAAAAAAATCTTAATAAAATTCTACGCAAACATTTAATTTTTAATTATTTTCATAAATAATAAAAATATCACAGAAATTCAATTATTTGCAAATTTTGTATAAATTTCTTGGTAATAATTCAATTATTTCCATAAGTAAAAAATTTTTTACAGGGATTCAATTATTTTCTTAAATAATAAAATTCTTTTTAGGAATTTATTAATTTTTATAAATAATAAAACTCTTCGCATGATTGCAATTATTTTTAATAGAAATCGAGTTCCTCGAAAAATGTAATTATTCTTAAAAATTTTATTTAAATTCGTTGAAAGAATTGAATTATTTAAAAAAGTTTTGATACAATTTGTTTATTAGAATTTAATAATTGAATTTATATTTTACAAATTTTATTTTTTTATTTATTTGTTATTGTTTTGATTTATTATTTTCATAAATAATAAAATTTTCATAGGAATTCAATTATTTAATTATTTTAATTTAAAATTTTATTAAAATTCTTGAAAAAAATTTAATTATTTATAAAAATTTTTATAAAGTTCTTAATAAGAATTGAATTTTAAGTAAATATTTATAATTATTCATTGAATTATTTATTTTTATTTTTAAATAAATGCATTCTCGTAGAACTATCAAATAAAAATTGATTTGAAATGTAATTTTAGTTTAAATTTTATATAATAATAATTGAACATTAAAAGCATAATAGTGTGTATTTTCAAATATTGTAATAAAATTTTTGGCAAAATTTCAATTATTTTCAAAAAAATGTTCATAAATTCTAATTCAATGATTTTTAGTATTTTCTATTTTAATAAAATTTTTCAAAAGAATACAATTATTAACAAATAATAAATTTAACTATTTCCATAAATAAGAAAAACTTTACAGGAATTCAAGTATTTAAAATTTTTTTATAAATTTCTTCACAATAATTCAATTATTTAGAAATTTTTTATAAACTTCTTCACAATATTTTAATTATTTTCATAAAAAAAAATTGTTGTTAGGAGTTCAATTATTTTCAAAAATAAAAAATAAAAACTTCACAAGAATTCAATTATTTAGAAATTTTTTATAACCTTCTTCACAATATTTTTTCAATTATTTTCATAAAAAAAAAATTCTTGTTAGGAGTTCAATTATTTTCATACATAAAAAATAAAAACTTCACAGGAATTCAATTATTTACAATTTTTTTTTTATAAATTTCTTCGCAATATTTCAATTATATTCATAAATAAAAGAATTCTTGTTAGGAATTCAATTATTTTCATAAATAAAAAAATTCTTGTTAGGAATTCAATTATTTTCATAAATAAAAAAATTTCTTGTTAGAAGTTCAATTATTTTCATAAATAAAAAATAAAAACTTCACAGAAATTCAATTATTTACAAATATTTTATAAATTTCTTCGCAATAATTCAATTATTTTTATAAATAATAAAACTCATCGCATAATTTCAATTATTTATCAAATTTCATTAGAATTTTACTTGAATTCCTCGAAAAATGTAACTACTCTTAATCATTTTATTAAAATTCTTCAGAAAAATTTAATTTTTTAAAATATTGTTGATGAAACTCTTTATGAGAATTTAAATTTCAAAAAACATTCAATTATTCAATAAATTATTTATTTTTGTATTTAAATAATTGATTTCTCGAAGAATTTTCTAATAAAAATTGATTTAAAAATGAATTTTAGTTAAAATTGCAGACAATAATTGAATATGAAAAGCATTATAGCGTGAATTTTAGAAATTTGAATTTTTTGTCACCTTGAATTAACAATTATGTAGAAATGATTTTTTTGAAAAAGTTTAATTGGAATTTTTAGTTGAAATTATTTGAAGTTTTTATTTTCTAATATTTATAATATTTATTATTAATTGAAGAATTTCCGAATAATTTAAATTTCCTAAAATTGAATTGTAAACAAATATATTTAAAAATTCTCAAAGGACTTTTTCAAAAAATCATTAAAAATAATTGATTTAAAGAAGAATTTTAGTTAAAAATTCTAGAAAATAAATAATTGAACTGAAATGATGAAAATAATTTTGTAGAATTTACAGTAACAATTTTGTTATAATAAAAAATAATGATTTTATCACTCGGTTATTTTTAATTATTATAATACATGAAGTAAGCAATCACTACGAGTCGAAGACTCGGAGTGATTGATTTCTTCATGTTTTATATTAATATTCTTATAATTTGTTGAATTCCAAACAAGTTTGAATTTCAAATGTTCGAAAATCTTAATTTCTATGGAAAAATAGTAATGATTCAGTAGGTATTTATTTGAAATAAGAGCGATTAATATTTTTTAATAAAATTGTATCTACTCTACTTCTCAACCTTTTTTAATATTTCAATAGAAAATATGCTTCTACTCTCTAAATGTGGATTTGTAAAAATGCTTACTAATTTGAATTAGTGACTGACTTTTTTGCCTTTGAATTAGTAAAGTTTACTAAATAAATAGTAATTTCTACTAATTTATTAGTGAACTTTACTAATTCAAAAGCAAAACGTCAGTCACTCTCTAAATCTGAATTAGTAAGTTTCTACTTATGAAATAGTGCGGATTCGTTTACCAATTAGAATTAGTAACATTTTTTACTAATTTTTAGTACTTTTTTACAAATTTATAGTAGAAAACTACTAATTCAATTAGTAAGTCGTATTTTTTACTATTTCAAATTAGTAAGTCAACTTACAAATGAATTAGTAGTTTTCTACTAGCAATTAGTAAAAAAAACTACTAAAAATTACTAATTTTTACTAATTGTATTAAAAAACTACTAAAAATTACTAATTACTACATTTTCGGCTAATATCGATTATGAGTCTCGAGAATAAACCTTAAATTTGGAAGAAATGAAAGTTCATGGGCATATGGACTGTATTCGATGGGGGAAATTAGAGATTCGAAACCTTCGTCATTACACGTCAATACAAGCAGGCTTAGGGATCAAAAGCCTGCTACATTATACGTATGCTTTTGGCTAAATCCTTTCACATGCGATTCGCAATAGGCTCAGAAGTGTAATAGACCACGATTTGTGGTTCGAACAATTTGATCCGAGAATCGAAACTCTGTCTATTCAGCTCTTCTTCACCACATCAAGAAACTTCTCTCGATTAATTAAATTATTCAATAGTTCGCTCATTTCCTCCTCAGTAAATTCAAACACTGTATATAGATGCACAATCATAATTTAGAATTCAAAACCAATTTATATTGCACATAACTTTCCAAAACTATTCATTTCATTCGTAATAGCAATTTTCTACAATAATACATTACTACAACGAAGAAAATATAATACAACAAAGAAATAAAAATATTAATATAAAGAACAATAACAAAAAAAAACGATTAAAATTTCAGTAAATTTTAGTTCGATTCAGTTCAATTATCACTGATTTAGATTAAAATCTATTCTCTGAAACTAAATCACATTATTAACTATTGATTTAAATACCATTCTTCTTCCAAGAAAAAAAACTGTTTGGAAAATATAACTGATTTTAAATGTAAATTTTTTCTCAATTAAAATTAATGAAATTTAATTAAAAACAAGTTACAAATGGACAAATTGACAAGTTAAAATTTTATTTTATTTATAACTAGGATAAAGAAAAATTAATAATAGAGTAGGTATGATAATAGAATATTTTCTTTTATTTGGAAAAATTTACAAAATATCTTGAAATAGGGTGAAAATAAAGTAAAATATTGATATATTATGCATTTTGCAAAATCACAAAATAAAATCAATATCCCGTGGTTTCTAGCGATGGGGAGAGAGTTTTATTCTTCCATAAAATGGATTCAATTAAAACAGTTTTTACAGAGCTTAACGCAATAAATAAAGGAATAAAAAAATTTTTTTATAGAAAAATCAGTTATTCGGCGCGTGAAAATATGGTATTGAAAAATTCTCGGATTTACGTCAATCATGTTCGTTGTTCAAAAACTTCATCATTTGAAACTGAATTTCTTCTTTATAAATATGCTTCTCCTCTTCGTCGGTCATTTTTTTTGTTTTATTTATTCTCTTTACTATAAAAAAAATCTATTAATGAAAAGAAAATAAATAGACCAAAGAACAAATATCCAGTAATCGAAAATTTTTAGGGGAGAAATGGGATAAAATCGACTACCTCTACTTTTCAATGATAGATACTTTTAATTTTTTGTACCTCCATCTATATTATTCATATTATTGAAAAAATTCTATTAATTATGAAAACGCTGGAAAATTTCTTTTTTTCAAAGTTATACAATTTTAAAATTTTGAGCAAAAAGAAGATGAATATTTATCGAAATAAAAGTGCTTGCAAAACTTTTTTGATAATTGATTTTAAAAAGCCAGCAATATATTGATATTTTTAATTAAAATTATTCAAATTTCAAAACTTTAAT